AGACGGGGGAAGCCTTGGAGGTGGGTTTTGGTAATTTGGCCATCGTTTATTAGGGTTTTGGGCTTCTGCTACTAAGTGCTAAATCGGATCGATGTGTGGGGTTACAGGATTGGGCTGAAAAGTTGTGTCAATTATTGTTAGTGGTTGGACCAGCTAGCCTCCTGTAACAAACTCTTTCTCTACATTTGCTTTGCATCGAGTCTTCGGTTCTACAAGACCATAAAGAAGAAAATGCACCCTTAGCTTTGTTTTATTTTCAAAGATATGGAAAGCAATATATGCGGATATATATATGTCCTGCTTTTAGAAGTGTTTTTGGTTTCAAAATCTGAAGTAGGGTTAGGTTAAACACTTTTAAAAGCTCGGCTTTTGAAAAGCCGAAAAGCGTTTTTTATAACATAAAAGCTTATTCTGCGAAAAGCTGTTTTGAAAATACAAGATTATCCTTATTATATTTTAATTATATTTCAGAAAATATAATTTTCCGTCATTTATATTATTTTAAAAATAAAATAAATTATAAAATAATATCATTTAATATAAAAGAAATCTAATAAGATCCATTTTGACTACTTTTATTGTTTGAAATTTTTATTCATATTTTATATTATAAGTCCTTTATAGTCATTTTACACAACCTCTCATATCTAAAAACACTTCTAATAGTTTTACAGCCAAACACTCAACTGCTTTTTTTGAAAAGTACTTATCTGAAAGCTCCAGCCAAAAGCTGCTTCTGCAAAAACTACAACACGGTCAAACTAAGCTATAGTACATGTGCTGGTCAAGTCACAAAGCAGAAAATGAAGAGTCATTGGCCAACCAACAAACAATATAAATGATATGAGGAACTTTTTTTTAATCTCCAAATGGACTTTCTATTATATCGATCCTGAGCGAAGTGAAATGAGACACACTGCAAAGAGGATTGAAGAACCTTGACCTCGACATGGAGGTTTCCACCCAACGCGTGTTGAATCATTTGAATTAATCATATGAATGATCACATGCAAATCAAACATAATGAAACGTTAGTGACTAATGAGAGAGACTCCATCGAAGAGTATCCCTGAGGTCAAAGAGCTTGATGATGAAGGCATGATCAATATAATCATAAAAATGCCCAAACGCAAATTCAATAAATCGCTCCCAGAGAAATCGATAAAGCTAATCCACCTCCAACCGAATTCTTAGTTACATAATCAAAGTGAACTAAGGTAGGGTTATTGATAGACCGATAATTACACATGTTTTCACCCCTTTTCTGGAGCCGTTTGAGATGTGGATTCTCGTGTTTTAAGCCGATTTCACGCGAGGTTGTACGTTTGTGTCATATTTCAGGACTTGGCGGTGGAATCGAGGCAAAGTAACGAGATTTGGGTCGAAAGGAGCAAGTAAGGCTTGGAGTGTGCTGGAGAGCCAAAATACCCGGCCAAAGGCAGGAATACCCGACCGGGTATTTTCTGGCCATGGTCGGGCATTTCCCACTTTGGGCGTCCGTGAGAAACAGAAGGGGGCCCGGGCAGGAGGCTTAAATCCCCGGTCGGGGATTAATGGTCATGACCGGGGATTTTCCCTTCACTGAAGCGGCGCGTTTTGAGCATACCCGGTCGAGACCCAAAATACCCGACCGGGTATCGCGACCAGGCAGCAGATTTAAGGGAAAGGAAGGCTAACATTCAAGGGTTCCGAGTTTTTAAGAGATAGAGTGATTCCTAGAGAGAGAAAGCGACGAACCAGAGTTCCCAAGTGCCATAGCTTGATCTTCATCACCATTGGAGCCCGGCTTGAGCTTGGAGAAGTGCCGATTAAACGTCCAGGAGCAAAAATCCATCTTCACAGTATGATTTCCGCGTCTGAATCTGCTTTTGCTTCTTTCTCTATGGAGTAGTTTCCCCATTCATCCGGGTATGGAGAACCCTAGATTTGTATGCTAGGTCTGATTGTATGAACCCAACTACCACTACAGGAAATAGTACTTTTACCTACCGTTACTTGACTACCATATTAAAAACGGTAGTTAATAATTGTTTATTAACTACCGTACTGAAAACGGTAGTCGTTAATAAAATTTTAACTACCGTATTGAAATACCGTAGGAATTGAGGGGCCAATACGGTAGGTGTTTATTTGAGAATGATGAAAGTAGCATTTACGGTACCATATGTTCTTTTATATAATAAAATATTTTCTTTACTTTTTTGGCTGTCCACTAGTTTTAGAGAGGAAGGAAAATATCTTCCTCGTCCCATCCCATCTCTTTCGCAAACAACAAACTTCGAGCATTACCCCCACCCCACAGCAAGCGCCCCGTCCTCCGATTGAATCCCTTACCTTTCTCCGGCGCCGGTCTCGCGTCTCCGACCGCGATATACAAAATGGCGAACCCCCAATCGCTCGTCATCTTTGTTCCCTGAGCACCCCTGACAGTCTTCGTTTCCATCTCCGTCGGCTGTCCCATCTCCGACAGTCCCATCTCCGATCTTCGACCGTCTGTTCGTATTCACATTGTGGCCAACGGTAAGAGATTCACTGCTATCCGGTCTCAGACCATCAATTTCTATCTACTCAAACCTATTTTCCACATCCAGTGATGTTCGTATTCTCTTTGAGTTAGTGTTTTCTAATTGTGTGAACTTGATATTCGTAGGCTTCCCCTCTCCACTCCATGCTATGAAGGCTTTAAAACCTAAATCCAAATGGGTTAGTACGTCTGAATTTGTTGGTGGTAACAGGTGAAGCAAAAAGAAACAAAAAGAGGTAGGTGAGAAGTGTCTTTTGGTTAGGTTATTCTTCTTTATCTTTGTTAAATCGTGTTGCTCCCTGCTTATTGGTTTGTCAATTTTGTTTCTATTATCATTCGTTTTTATTTTGTTCTTTGTATCTTTGGCTGGTTCGTTGCTGCTAGCACACTTTACTTTTGGATTAAGTATGCTTTACATATATATATAGAGAAAAAGCCTTTATTATACTTGTCGATAGGTGTAGGAGATTGGGTTTAACCAAATTTCGTCTTTATACTTAATACTGAAAAGAATTGGGTGCAAGTGGCACTTCTGGTGGTCCTTGCTGTTCGCATAATCCATTTCAAACTTACTGGCGTGTAATGAAATACCTAATGTGCAAGCATTTGTTCTTATTATTGATCCCCAGGCTAGATATATCATGGTTTTGCTACTTCAGTTATGAAAAACTTGCATCCCCTTCCTTTCCTTGTCGATGGATCTAGAGTCATTCAATTTCCTTCTTCAATTTAAGTAATTAATCAAATTGAGAGAAGGCTTGTGTCTGCTTTATTGGATTTAACAAATACTATATATCTTCCTTCCTCTCCTTTATGTTCTGTGTAGTTTAGATTTAAGAGAGTGAGCAACTCTAGAGATAATTGATTTGAATTAATATGCAGCTGCTGTAGCTTGGATGTGAGCATCCCGATCGAGCAATTAGCTTGATATATTTAGTCTTTGCTGCTGTGTACCAGAACAGAGCTAGATCTTGCCATCTTGGAGTTCTTTCCTTTTGTGTTTCTTCTGTGTCTTTGTATCATAACAGAGCTAAATCTTGGATGATTGTTGTCTATTTGCAAATCTGTATTACTATTTTGTGCTGTTACACATCATTATATTATATGTTATACGAGCTTTGTAAACTTTCCTTAAAAAGGAAATTGCAACACCGAGAGAAGATAAGGGTGATGTAATAGTCTTTTGGCTTGGTCGGATGACTAGTAATTCAAAGAAGTATACAATCACTTCATTACTATGTACAGCAGCATTTCAATAGGAGAAGAAAGCTAAAGAAGTGGTAGTGGCAGCGAAAGGAAGCTATAGATCCCTTCGTTTGACGGAACGAGAATCATAATTGGAAAAACCAGTACATGTTGTGAAGCCTTAACCCAAAATCCGAGCTTCTTCTCCATCTTTCTCTATCGGTAAGCTTCCTTTCTAAATTTCAATTTAAGTCTTTCTTTGCTATTTGAAATTAGGATCCTTGCTATTACTCTCAGCCTATGATATGCTGAAGCTTAGCTCTTATAGTTTCTTTATGAATTTCCACTTTTTCTTCCGAATTTGTTTTTATCTATAACATAAAATTTTGGTTATTAGGAGATGAGCCTTAACAAGAATTGGATGACAGTTCAGGATAGACTTAGTGAGGAGTATGATCTTGGTGTGAAAGAATTTTTAGATTATGCTTTCCAAAGAAATGGGGGAAGTAATGAAATCAGATGTCCATGTGTCAAATGTATCAACTCGAGAGAAGAATCGCTTGATATGGTAGCTGTACATTTAAAGCTTCATGGAATAATGCCGAGTTATACATTTTGGTGTCATCATGGAGAAAAATTGGATCATATTGGTGAACCAAGTGAACTCAATATACACGAGACAAATGATGAGATTCATCAATTGTTATCAGACTTGTATCCTGGTATGGATGTAGACGATGGTGAAGCTGAAATCGACTTAGATTCTGAGAATCAAAATGATGAAGAACCGAGCGAGGAAGCAAAAAAGTTCTATATACTATTGAGTGATTCTGAAAGACCTTTATATGATGGGTGTAAGAGTTCAAAGTTATCCACTTTTGTTCTCCTCTAGATAAAAGCATCCCCACACTGTAATGAAGAAGACTAGAGCAAATTTTGTTGCCCCCGGCTCTTTGAGTAGGACGATGAAGAGGCCAATAACCACCTTCAATTCCCTTTGTTCGACTACTTCAAAAAAGCAGCATGTACAACCAAAACAGAGAAACAATGGTAAGTAATTGTAAGTATTGATTGTATATATTACTTTATAAACATGCCACGTTTATGATTGATGATTATATTTTTGTGTGGTCTTGTAGTTTCCGAGAGCCCACTAGAATCAAATGAAGGGTCACTTAGTGAAAACAATTTGAGGGCTGGTGATGAACTAACCAGGACAGAAGGTTCTTTCTCTCAGAATGTGCAGCAACATAGGTCACATGTGGCTGCGAATGATCCAGTGGAAGTGAATCTTGAGGCATTGGAGGATCCAGTGGAAGTGGCTGCTCAAGCAACAGAGCAAGAACAAGTTACTGAGACAGGTTAGTAAGTTAGTAGATTATGAAAACCAACTAATACAATGATTCTAATGCTTTTCTATTGGATGTTATGTTGCAAAGTTCGTACAAAAAAAAAATGGTAGAGGGAAAAGCACATGCAAAAAGCTTGCCAAGCTTAAGGCTGGAGAGAAATTACCAGTCATATTTTTGGAAAGGCGTGTTGTTGGGCCAAATCGAGCTGTTTGGGCAAGCTATCTCGGGCTAATAGTTCGCAATCCTTCAATCTGTCCGATAAGGTCTTTGGATTGGAATCACATTGATGAGATAGAAAAAGATCATATGTTTGCTGTTGTGAAGGTAATTAGTGTATGCGTATAAAATTTAGTAGTTTGAAGTTCTTAGTATTTCCATTAAGTTGATAATGTGAACTTTAACTACTTTAGGAATATTTCTCCCATCCTGAAATGGATTCCTATAAGCAAGATGTCTTAGATCACATTAGAGAGCGCTGGACTGATTGGAGATCAGAAATGAATTGCGAGCTGGTCAAACCTTGCAAAAGTGTGGAAGAAGCAATTGGAAATGTACCACCAATGATGAACAAAGAAGATTGGGAATAGTGTGTTAGAAATGTTTTCAAAGGACAGAAATACAAGGTGTGTAACTTTTCAATTGAATTATTCACTTGTGTATTGCAACTTAAAGTTGTAATGGATTTTTATTGTACTGTAGAAAGCAAGTGATGCTAATACAATCAATCGAGGGAAGAAAAAATTGTATCATCGCACTGGGAGCAAACCAACACGACAAGTCAAAGTTGATCTGGTATTGCTATTATTGCTTTTGTGTAATCACCTACTGCAACTTTTCTTAGTTTGTAGATCAATGAATAGGTGGCTGAATGTAAGAGCTTGTTGTGTTTTGGTATAAGGAAATATTGTAATTGAATGTAAAATGCAGGTTAAGTAGTTAGAGATCATCGCGAGCCTCTCTGGTTGTATAAGTGCATGTTAACCTCGATTAATTTTTGGACAGCATGCTGTGTTTTGGTAGAAGGGAGTATGGTGATTGAATGTAAAAGTAAAAATTAAGTAGTTAAAGATCACCATTTTGTCTAACTCTTGGATGCATAAGTGCATGTTCAATTATGTTACTTTTGGGCACCATACAGTGTTTTGGTAGAAGGAAATATGATGATTGAATGTAAAAGTGCAGATTAAGTACTTCAAATCACCAAGGGACTAACTCTAGGTTGTGTAGGAGCATGTTAAGCTTTAATACTTTTTTGGGCAGGATGCTATGTTTGGCAGAGAGCATTTGTTAGTCATTTGTTGTGTTTTATTGTTATTGTAGAGAGAAAAGCTTGGTCAAGATCCAACCTTGGAGCAGGTTTTTGAGCATTCTTATAAGCAAGGAGAGGCGATACAAGATCCCGAAGCAATAGAAAAACATGTAAGTTTGCCAATGTTGATATTTTAGAGTGTAAGTAGCATACTAAGAGATTATATATGTTTGTAGGAAGAAATTAAGAAAGCGATGGAAGATGCCCCAAATTCAAGTCATTATGACTTGGTAGTCAAATGTTTTGGAGAGCAGAATCATGGTCATATGACTTGCTTTGGAGGTGCTGTGAAGCCTAAAGACTTGAAGGTTGGTAGCTCAAAAGATGGTGAGTTAGATGCTAGGTTGCGTCGATCTGAAGAAGAGAAGGCTGCTATGCGAAAGCGCATAGAGGAGCTTGAGGCTGCAGAGAGAGATAGAGGAGCTTGAGGCTGCAGAGAGAGATAGGGAGGCTGTCGAGAGAGATAGAGCTGAAATGAATGCTCAAATGATGGTTGAAATGAGGGCTGAAGTGAGGAGTACAATGAGGACTGAAGTTATGAAGGAAATGAATGGACAGATAGTGGGACAAGTTAAAGCTCAAGTGGCAGCAATGTTGGGTGTTCGATCGTCAAAGAAAAGAAGATTAACTTAGATCGTACATACTGGTGGGATGATAAGATGAGGTAAATTGATCTAACAAATTATGCAGTTGTGATAGTGAATGTGATATTATTGGGAATGTTCTAGGATTAGAATGACAATATGATGATAGAATGAATATATACTTGCTTAAATCCTAGACTTGCTACACATCTTGTACATGGCAGGGGACACCATTAAGTTGGTTGAGAATAGCAACTTAGCTGCTGATTTTGCTAATTTTCCAATGAGTTGCTTTCAATCAATTCTTATGTTTCATGTCCCAATCAAACCATATTCTTATTTGACTTTATGGGATTTTATTGACTGGTAGTTGAAGTACTACTAAAGTGACAATGTAATAAGAATGTACTAATGATATTCTTCCATTTTCAGGTTTATTTCCTTCAAGTTTAAGATGACTATATTAGAGGCTGAAGCGCAATGGATTTTGATGATTGACAGAAGAATAGCTTTTGATGTTGACTTACAAACTTTAATTTTGTACATCAAGTCAAGCATGTAACGTGTGAATTTGGTTCAACACTAGTAGCTAGAATGAACAGATGTCAAATTCCTTAACACTAGTAGCCATTTTTGTTATATAGCTAGCATTTGTATATGAATAGTGTACTGATTATATAAAATTGGTTACTTGTCGAATTGTTGTTTTTAGGTTGTTTGACATGTGAAAAATATGAAAGAAAAATTGATGAAAATAATATTTAGTGACAATATATCTCAACTTAACATGACAGTATTCCCCACCGTTGCCCCTATTTAACTACCGTAAATTGCCTAGCTAATTGTCTCCTCATTCCCTACCGTTACAAGACCAGTAGTTAAAAACAACTTTTAACTATCGTTAAAATGCTAGTTAATAATACTTAATAACTACCGTTTTCTTTACCGTAGCCAATACCTTTTACTACCGTTTGGAAAACGGTAGTAAATAGTCACTTTTAACTACCGTTTTGACTTTTAACCACGGCCAAGTTAACCGCCGTATTTTTACCGTAGCTAAAAGTATTAACTACCGTTTTGTGACTATTAACTACCGTTTTTACCCTAGGTAAAAGTGTATTTTCCTGTAGTGTACGGAGTTTATGAATTGATTATATTCGATTGAGGTTTGAATGATTGAATGACTTGAATCCTGATCAAATTCCTGTTGTTTCTGCTTTGACCTAGAATGAGAATATCTGCCTAGGTTGATAGAGTATCCTTAATTGAAGGTAGCGAATTGGTGACTTTAGTCGAAGAGCCAATTCGCTATTCTGTACCGAATTCAATTCGTTAGTGGAGGTTTGGTTCGTTAGGGCCTCAATCTGTTTACTCCGGTGGAGGTTAGTTGCCCGCTAGAGACTCAGATTGAGAGGGTCTGAAGACCTTTAGTCGAGACTTCAGACTATTTAAGAACCTTCCGCGGTATAACTTTCATGAAAATTGAACTTGGTAAATTACAATCCGGTTTAACTACAGTCTAGGGGGAATCATATCCAGGTGACCTCTCTTAACCTGAAAACAACCGTTTAACTTGCTTTGCGTTTTTGTTTGTTTGAATCTGCACTAAAAGTTCACTGCTAGATAACAAGAATTCACCGAGTAGTCATCACATCTAGGACCCGGGTTGACAATAAAACCCAAACCCGCTATACTACGCTTTAGGAAGTGGTTTCACTTGGCCCTTTTCTAGAGTGACAGTAGGAGTGAGTCAGTTATGCAAAATATAAGATGATCTAGCACCTTAGCCAGTAGGAGGAGCCACTAAGGAAGAATGTCATTGAACAGATGATGTCAAGGCAACCAACACAGAGTTCCATTCCGTTACCTGGGTGGGTGTCAAACTATTGAAGCAGAGCAGTAGGAAGGAGTCATGGAAGCTGTTGAACGGTTAGCTTGAGGGACATTAATGAATGTGTTATTTGTGAAATGTGGTATTTAATTGGTATCTAAATAACATACTAGCTGAGTGCCACACCCGTTGGCCGAACTACCATTTAAATATTTTTTTTTATGGTTCAATGGATATATCTTATTCATTACGTTTATCCTAGATTCTTACAATAATTTGAAATGCATAATTGCCTATAACATTAAGGTAACATCAAATTTATTATTTAATAATTGAAATTATAATAACATTTCTCAATAATTGGACATGTATATTTTTTTTATGGTTCATTGGATATATCTTATTCATTACGTTTATCTTAGGTTCTTACAAGTATTTGAAATGCATAATTGCCTATAACATTAAGGTAACATCAAATTTATTATTTAATAATTGAAATTATAATAACATTCATCAATAATTGGACATTTTATTTTTAATGATTATAAAACTAATAAGCAGTCACTTAATTGTCTATGTTTGGAAAAAAAAAAACTTGAATCGTATCTAACTATTATCCCTATTGAAGGCCAAGTCTAACCATCAATTAGGTGTAGTATAGTTGAAGTAAGCTTTAATTATCAACTCGGGCAGCAAATCTACTATTACTTTGTGAACTATTCGTTATCTAGCAAATCAAGGTTTGTCAAACAATCAACTAATATGCAAATTCAGTAAAGGTTGGTCTGAATTGTATTAAGAGAAGTTTACTCGAGTGTGCTTCCCTGGGGGCACAAATTAGGTCGATATTGACTACCCTAACTTGCACACTCAAGATTTATATCGCGAAGAGTCCTAATCCCACTTGAAATACATATTCGAGTTATCCAAGCTCACCTAGGATGAACTATCTAGTGGTAGAGTTTCCACATTTGGCAAAACATAACACTTAGGGCATGCAATATGGACTCCTGCTAAAGAATCTCAATCCAATATGACATTGTCGTCCAATATCAGGCTCGATCAATTGAACCACAATGAAGAATTTAATATATGCTCTAATCAACCTAATGAGATATTCTCTACCTTGATCGGATTCAGAAAATTTGATAGAGATTTTGCCAATTAATTTAAGCTCTGAAATGCTCTCTGCTCTTCCGACGACCTGTGACCCGCCGGAGGCCGACATGGCTATTTCGGGGAGGCCGCCGGACCCCTCTCCTACGCTTCCCAGCAAGGAAATTTGATCGGATTCAGAAAATTTGATCGAGATTTTGCCAATTAATTTAAGCTCTGAAATGCTCTCTGCTCTTCCGACGACCTGTGACCCGCCGAAGGCCGACATGGCTATTTCGGGGAGGCCGCCGGACCCCTCTCTTACGCTTCCCACGATCACGACACCAACTGCACATAGCGCACCAAGCTCACCTCCGTTGAATTACAGGTTGGCGCTGACGGGATCCCCGGCTCCATCCCCGGCCAAGGCCCAACAGTGGACATTCATCGGAGAGCACGATTTGGAAGTCGGACTCTACAATGGAGAACCTGAGCTAAAGATCTCTTCCCAGCTCAAAGAACGTCTCTGCTTACCTTGGAAGCGAACTTTGGTTGCGCGGCTTCTGGGGAAATCAGTTTCTTACCAATACATATGCTCGCAGCTCCGTTGGAAATGGAAACCAGCTGGGAGTATGGAGATCCTCGACCTAAATAACTCAACTTTCCTGGTCAACTTCAGCAATGAGAAGGATTATCTTAATGCCCTCACTGGCGGTCCTTGGGTGATCCTTGATCATTATTTGATCGTCCATCAATGGTCGCACACTTTCCGAACATCGGACAAACCTCATCGATCGGTGGTAGCATGGGTTTAGCTACCCGAGCTACCGATTCACTTTTACCATCGGGAAGTACTCTTCGCACTGGGAAACATATTGGGAAGAACGATCAAGCTCGATTATCATACAGAACACAGGGAAAGGGGAAAATTTGCTCGGATCGCCGTGGAACTCGATATGACCAAGCCTCTGAAGACGCGGATCCGGCTCGATGAGTTCTGGCAACAAGTTGTCTACGAGAACTTGCCGGAGATCTGCTTTAAATGTGGCCGAATTGGGCACTCTGAAGCCGCCTGTCCCAAGCTTCATAATCCCCCGGCGAGTCTGTCTCAGGCGAACGTGTCGGATCTGCCACAGGTACCGGAGGACAGCCCACCGGAGCCACCTGTCGGTTACGGGCCACGGATGCAGGTAATTAGGAAATCACGGAGCCAGAATAGGAAAGGGCAAACCAACCATGGATCCGCCCAAGGCAATCAAACGGGCAGAAGCTATGAAGCCGGGAAAGCGCCGCTCAAAATGGGAAAGAAATCGAAAGATGAACAAGGCAACTCTGTTTTCTTGAAAGTCAGGAAGGGTAAGGAGGAGTTGAAAGGGGATCCGAAAAAGGGAAAGGCCACCTTACAATAGGGAAAGGCCAACGTCTCTGAAGCTTTGCTAACTAAGGAAAGCCCTGGTTCAGGCCCATCTCAGGTGTGGCGTATGGTGGGCCCTAAGCCCAAGGAGGTCCCTAATGCCTCTAGCTCACAACCCATAGGTGAAACTACTACTGAAGCAGACTTGACCATGCTGGACCAATCCGAAATTGAGCCCATTAGGTTGAGGCCGACCCACAAGCCCTCTGCAGCCCAACCTGATCCTCCGCTCGGAAACCAATCTTCGACGCCAGGTGAAACTGCGACTCCCCAAAAAAGCATCTCCATTCGCGAACACCATAGGGGGAAAGCAAGGAAGGCTCGCGACTCTCCGAAGAAGAAGAAGGATTCCATCCTTCGGGTAGCAAAAAAGAACCATGAACCACGTTCTGGAACGGGGAACAGCAAGCGACCAGCTAAGAAGCAAAGCAATCTAATTCACCGCCAAGATGTAGAGGAGCTCCTTGCCCAACTCCAGTCCCTTCCGCCTGTTGGAACGTCTAGTTTGGGATCCAAGGAGAGTAATGAGTCTATGGATGTCATCGCCGAGCCTCAGTCCACTGGTATTGGAGGGAACCTGGAGCCGAATGCGACCGCCCTGGTGGGCAGTGAATCCCCGCTGGCGAAGCCGGCGAATTAATCGTCCCCCCCTGTGCCTCTGCAAGTCAGGGAAGTTTGTGCATGTTCTCTTCTCTTTAATTCCTTATGTTTAGTATTTTCAGTTGGAATTGCCGGGGGGTAAAACACCCCAAGTTTCTAGCAACGTTTAAGGAGTATGTGTTCACCCATAGACCAAATATTGTCTTTATTGTGGAGCCACGGATCAGTGGTAAGGATGCAGAAGATGTTATTAAGTCCATGGGGTTTGATAAACACATTGTGGTTGATGCTATTGGTTTTTCTGGTGGTATTTGGGTGCTTTGGAAAGATACTCACCTTGATATTACTGAATTGGATCGTGACTCACAATTTCTCCACCTTTTGTGCACACATCAGAACAGATTCTTAGTGCTCTTGACTGCAATCTACGCCAAGCCTAACGAGCATGATAGGCAACCCCTTTGGGCGGCCATTCGAAGACTGGAACAAAACATTGAGAGGCCGTGGCTCTTAGCGGGGGATTTCAACTCCATCACCTGCCCTTCGGAGCGCAAAGGAGGTGATGCGTACAATCCGAGTAGAACGGCTAGCTTCAATGCATGTATTCGCGATTGTGGGCTTATAGATGTCGGCTTCACTGGATCTAAGTTTACCTGGAGCAATGGCCGGCTCTCCCAACGCCTTGACGGAGCCTTGTGTAATCAGGAGTGGATCAGGCTCTTCCCTGACACTGTCTCAACGAACCTGCCAAAGCTCCGCTCAGATCATAGACCAATCCTCATCAACAGTAAGAATGACCATATCCCCCCTAGAATGGTAAGACCGTTCCGGTTTCTTGTTCCGTGGTTAGCTCATAAAGACTTTCATTCCACACTCGAGGCCTCATGGAACCGAGGAAGGGACTGTTTATTGTCTTTGCAGGATCTGCAAGCTCATCTCACTCATTGGAACAAAGAGGTGTTTGGGAACATATTCTGGAGAAAAGCTAAACTGTCAAAGCAGCTTGCCCGCCTGGAGGTTCAGAATGAGACGGCAGCGGTGATGCATCCCTCAGACGGGAAGGGGAAGTTCGGGAGGAACTGGAGCAGACTTTATGGCAGGAAGAGCTCCTATGGCTTCAGAAAGCGAGGGCGAATTAGATTGTGAGCGGGGACAGGAATACTCGATATTTCCACACTGTAGCTCTTACGAGACGGCGGAAAAATAGAATAACCAAGTTACAGCGGGAGGATGGGACTTGGATCGAGGATCCTGAGATGCTGAAGCATATGGCCAGGGAGTTCTATGTCCGGCTTTATTCCGAAGACGGAACGGGGCAGCAAGATATCCCAGCTCTTTTTGATGTTTTGACAGGGACCATGACGTCGCATCTTACAGTCAGTCCGCTCTCTGAGGAAACACACCAAATAATCAAGGAGATGGGTGGACTTAAGGCACCAGGGAAGGATGGCTTCCATGCTACTTTCTACCAGAAATGTTGGGACAGGGTGGGAGCTGACCTCCATGAACACATGGTTGCTTGTTTCAGGAATCCAGAGCGGATCGAGAGATGCAATGAAACCCTTCTGATGCTGCTGCCCAAGGTGGATTTTCTGAAGCAAGTAGCTCAATTTAGACCCATTGGTCTATGTAATGTGAGCTACAAGGTCGTGGCCAAGTGCCTGGCGAACAGGCTCAAAAATTTCATGCCTAAGCTGATCGACCCGAGCCAGTCAAGCTTTGTCCCTAAGAGACACATCACAGACAACATCATCATTCTGCAGGAAGTGGTTCATACTATGTCACTCAGGAAGGGAATCAAGGGACAAATGATTCTAAAGATTGATCTGGCCAAAGCCTATGACAGGATAAACTGGAAGTTCTTGGAGTTAACCCTGCAGGCGGCCGGCCTACCTGATGATTTCGTCAAACTGGTTATGGCATGTGTGACGACTGTCCGTTTCCAGGTGCTTTGGAATGGTGGTTGTACCGAGCCTTTCCATCCTACGAGGGGTCTTCGGCAGGGATGTCCTCTTTTACCTTATCTATTTACTCTGTGTATTGAAAGACTTAATCACTGCATCAAGGACTCAGTAGATAGGAAAGCTTGGAGACCTATTACTTTATCTAAGGATGGCCCTGCACTTACTCACTTATTTTTGCAGATGATTTGGTCTTATTCGCGGAGGCGGATCCAAAGCAAGGAGAAGAGGTCCTAAATTGTCTGAACCGTTTTTGTGAAGCCTCGGGGGAGCAAGTTAGCAACGACAAATCTTGTGTCTTCTTCTCGAAAAACACCAGGGAGAGCCTGAAGAGAAGTATCAGCGACATGTTGGGGATCAAACAAACCAATAATTTGGGGCGCTACTTGGGTGTTCCGGTCATCCACGGCAGAGTCACCAAAGATACCTACAAGTTCATCTTGGAAAATTGATCACCGGCTCTCAGGATGGAAGGCGAGGAGTCTTTCCCTGGCAGGGAGAGTTACCTTGGCAACCTCGATTCTCAATGCCCTTCCGAACTATGTCATGCAGACGGCAGTTCTCCCAGTTTCTGTCTACGATATCATTGACAGGAAAGTTAGAGCCTTTATCTGGGGAGCAGAAGACGGAGTATCCAAGATTCACTTGGTCAAATGGGAAACCATTTGTAAACCAAAGGAACTTGGTGGTCTGGGCATGCGGTCTGCAAGAGCTCTCAACTTATCCTATATTATGAAACTGGGATGGGCCTTCGTTAACATGTCGGAGGAGCTCTGGATCCGTGTCCTGCAGAGCAAGTAATTCAATGTCAATGAGGCAGGGGCCTTGGTGATGAAAAAAAGTAACTTCTCGCGGCTATGGAAAGGAATTGTTAATACGTGGCCTATCCTTAAGCACCGGGTGGTGTGGGACATCCGGGAAGGCCATAATGTTCAATTTTGGACGGATCCCTGGCTGGCAGAGGGTACTATCTTGAGTGACCACATCACAGGCGCTGGCGAAGGGATTAATTGGCAGGCTATCGTTGCAGAGATGGTCACTACTGAAGGTGAGTGGAAATGGCAGGATATTGAGGCGCACCTGACTGAGAACTTGTTGGCTTTGATTGCAGGTACGGATCCTCCCATGCCGGGATCAGGTGAAGACATTACTGCTTGGGGTATGGAGCCAGATGGGAAGTTCAAGCTTCGTTCAGCCTATTCCCCGGCAGTAGAGGGGCTGAGTGACGAAACATGGGAGGCGGAGGAGGACAACAGTCACCACCATTGGAAGCGTCTCTGGAAATGGGCGGGCCCGAACCGCATTAAACATTTCCTGTGGTTGGTGTTTCATGACAGGCTAATGACGAACGTGCAGCGTAAGAGGAGGAGACTGACGACAGATGATACGTGCCCGATGTGCAAAAGAGGACCGGAAACGACTGAACACATTCTGCGCCAGTGTCCGAGCTCACTACAGGTATGGAATAGGCTGGGTATTCAAGAGACATCACTAACTTAAGGCCTTGGGTTTGTAGCTTGGCTAGATGAACATCTCAAGAGGGATCATGAGGGGCTTCTGTTCGGTGTGGCAGCTTGGTACCTCTGGAAAAGACGGAATGAGAAGGTCTTTCACAACCTGACTCAAGAGGATCACGTTTTGGCGCAACGCATTGGCTGTTGGACGTCTACAATCAGGCAAGCTCAGGAAAATGACACTGCTTCACATAAGGACATGCACGAGAGGTCTTCACAGCAGCTAGCTTGGACACCACCACCACAAGACTAGGTGTGTGTCAACACCGATGGCTCAGTGAAGCAACCAGGATCAGAAGCAGCTGGGGGTGGCATTATCCGGGACTGGACGGGGAAATGTATGGGAGCCTTTGTGGAGAACCTTGGAGTGTGCACGATTACCTGGGCAGAGATTATGGCGGCCATTCGAGGATTGCATATGGCGTGGAAGAACGGGCATAGGAGAGTTCTACTTCAATTGGACTCCACTACTGCCATCAACATACTTACCTCGCAGGATCAGACGGAGCACAGGTACCATAATCTGATTCTGCAGTTTCAGAGATTGCTCCAGCAGAACTGGGAAGTCAGAATTTCCCACATCTATAGAGAATGTAACAAAGTGGCGGATTTCCTTGCTAATAAAGGCCACTCTGCTAGTATAGGTTTCCATGTTTTGGCGAGTTCAGATCCGGGTCTGTCCTTCTGGATTCTGTATGAAGTTTTGGGTATTTCCCCAAACCCGGTTAATTTAAGTGTCAGGCTGGGGCGCCCTTTAGCGTCCCTTTTTCTACAAAAAAAAAGATATTCTCTACCTTAGGTTAATAGCTCAGATTGGAGAGTTTGATCATTACCCATCAAATTCTATGAAAATAACTCAATTCAATATATAATCAAGAGTGTAAACAAGCGCAAGAATAATTCAACATCAAATCTTAACA